GGGAAATGACTGCGTTGAATTTGTCGGCAACAGCTGTTTCTTCTCGCGGATTTTGGAACGATTTCTCAGTTGGTCAGACTGACAGAAGTAAGGGGTTTGAGCGGATCCAGGCAAAATAGGGCCTAGCCAGTTAGTGTCAATTCAACACTGATTATTTTTTACCTTTGAAAGGCATTGTATTTTTAAATAAGGAGTTCAGACCCTTGCTCACAGTTTGAGAAGTATAGCCTTGCCGCACGGCTACAGTCTCACGAGCGGTCAAAAAAAAGCTGCTGCAGGCAACTCCTCCACGCAGGACCAGGACACTCCAGTTCAGCAGAGCTAGTGTACATGTGCAATTTCTTTTTTGAGCTTTTGCGAAATGATGTCACAGCCGAAGGCTACTGCTGACTTATACATTAATAATTCTGTCGGGTACTCATACGCACGTTTGAAGAACCTTTTTATTATATCGTTTTTTTGGCCCAGTCTTCTCATCAAGAATGGTCGCCGCAGCGAATCAGTCTGGCGCTGGGCAGCTGGTCTGTCTTATAGTCTTGACAGTAACCTGGTGGTCTTACCACAGCTTGTCTTGCGCTGCCGTGACCCCAGAACGGCTGCGCGGAAAACAAGAAAGTTTGCTGCTGCTGCTGCTGCAGGTCATATTAAATACAGCCAGCACGTATTGTGACTGAGAGTGTGCGTAGCCTGTCAGTGCATCATTTGGTCGTGTACTCACCTTAGTACAATAGGAAGACTATTTGTGCAAGGGGCACCCAATCAGTCTCAGTTTCTTCCTATTATTATCTACAACTTTTGGTGTATCGGTTCTATTTTGGGTGGGCCATCACCCAGTTTGGAGGGTATCTCGGTTTTGGGGTTGGGCCCCTAGTATACTAGCCTAAAAAGCTTGCCGACTGCTGGCTTACAGTAATTCTGTATAAGCATGTCCTTTCTATGTCGCTTTGTGTTGGCCCGAGTCTGAGCTTCAGCTGCCGCTCACTCCTGTTGTCCGCGCCGACGCCTCCGACTCCCGGCCGGTCTTGACGAGAGATGGTCCACAATCTGAGTTTGGTGCCGGCCGGTGGTCTTACCCCGGGCGCCAGTCCCCTTTGACTGGTCCACTGGCCCTTGCAACGACTACCGCCCCGACCCCAGCCGAAGTGCCTTTGAAACTCATTTATCATCAGATAAAGTTTAGGGTCTTGATCCCCAGGGTTTAGTTCAGGAACCTTTTTGTTTTTCAGTCGTCTCTAAAGAGAAGGTTCAAGCCTGAGTTGAGACAACTAGGGTTGTTTCAGAGGTAAAATATGTTGTTTCCTACATATGTCATGACCTGTACATAGAAGAGAAAAGTCACACAAATTACCTGTTTTTTTGGAAAATGACTAGAAGAGAGAACAAACATTTCAAAACCAAGACCGAAAGAAACAACCTATTCTTTTACAAGATGTCTATTTATGAGCGGCCAAGAATGCTATATAATAAAGAGACAGGCTCCGCAGAAGCAAGTGCTGGGACTGCAAAGAAAACTCCAGGTCCGAAGACTCCCGACATCAGACTGCTGACATGAGACTTGGACAGCCGGCCCATGAAGCTTGACGAGAGACTAACTTTATGATATTTTATGAGACAGCGCGTGAGCGAGGAGCTTAATTTATGACATGAGACTTGGACAGGCACCCCATGAAGCTTGACCTGAGACTCGCATGACATGAGACACTCACATGAGAACTTCCCTCCCGATGTGAGACCTGCCCATGATTAAACTTGTAACATGAGACTCGCACCTTTTGGCCACAGCAAACCACGCAGCAGTGTGAAACCCGGAGTAGTGAACACCACTAGCGATCACATGAAGTCATATTCAGTTGTATGGGCGGTTTGTTCAAAACAATGAATGTCAGTCTATTTTTACCATGGGTTTACAATTGAAGATCGTCTTTGTCTTGACAGCCATCAATGAATCAGATCACACCTCACAGCGCAACTCAACCTCAATCCGCCAAACATGGCAGATTCAAGTGAGCAGCCAAAGCAACAAACAAGTCAGCCCAATGCGCAAATGATTTCGACGCATGTCATGTCTGACTTGGTGCTATCTTCGTTCTTAGCCCAAGGAGAAAAAGTAAACTGAATCTCACTGGCCGCACGTATTTTCTATCTTCTATGCGCCGCAGCCACATTTCTTCTTGCTCAAGACCCAGGTCGTGGCGCCATCTTCATCCATGAACCTTGCAACTCTCCTCCTGAAAAGCGGGCCCTGGTTAGGGAACACACCATGTTCATCTGCAACGCGCATGAACCAGGTTGGCTGGTCCCTCGACCCTGGAGCTGGATCGTATTTGATTTGCCCAACCAATGCGCTGCAGGAGGGGCAATCAACGTCGCTCCATTGATTCACCCAGCCCCGACCAGGCCCGACTCCACGAACAGCTACCTCCGGCGGTGGCACTTCCACACCAGAGTCTGCCCTTGCAGGCTCTGGCCCTGCTGGAGCATCGGGCATCTCAGCGGGCAAAGGATGGTCAATCGCCAAGTTGTCTGCGCTTGCAGCAATGTCCAAGTCCAAGTCAATGTCTCCTCCTGCAGGTGGGGCATCTGTGGATGGCTCTGCAGGCGCTGCCCTTGAAGGCGCAGACTCTTC